AGATTCTTGCTGGAGGAAATAGGATTACTTAATATTTCTGTATTGCTATCAATTTCTTTTGCAAGGTCACTGCATATGACCGAAAGTGTTACAGGGCAAATCAGTTGACCCTGGGACTTTGACAAAACGACAGCGTTAGGACTGACAGGGCCTCAGAAGTTCTTTAGAATCCAGAACTTCTGAACTTCCCTGATATAAGAATCACCAGGATTCATTCAAAAAATTCCCAGGCCCAATGAATTTCTTCCAAGAAAGGCCTGGTGACCTCTATAGTTTTCCAAGTGCCCCTGGTGGGTGCTGTCATCAGGAAGGTTTGGAAACACTGATGATCTCACCCACTTCTCTGCCCCCCTGTCCCTAAGACCTCCTAAGGAAATACCTAGGCCCACGTCTGACATTTGTTCTTCTTAAGCCCTTGCCAGGTAGCCATTTCTTCTTTTTCYGGGGAGGAGGGTACAAGAGATTGCATTCCAGGGGCACTCAACCATTGAGCCATATCCCCAGCCCTATTTTGTATTTATTTAGAGACAGGGTCTCACTGAGTTGCATAGCATCTCACTGTTACYGAGGCTGGTTTTGAACTCGCAATCCTCCTGCCTCAGCCTCCTGAGCTGCTGGGATTACAGGCGTGTGCCACTGCACTTTGTACCAGGTTGCCATTTCTTATTGCACAAATTGTCCCTTTCTGTCCATGGCCAACTTCTGGCTCCCTTTAACTTCTCTTCATTAACCCCAGTTCTCCTTCCAAACATAGGACAATTTTCCATTTTCTCTTTGAGCTATAAACCTGTTTATTTTCTTCACATGTTTTTAAAGGAAATCTTTAATATTGTCGAGAGGGAAAATGTGTTTTCCTTTCATGAGAGCTTGTAATAAAATTCAAAGATTGCTTACATAAAATAGTGGTATTCCTCTTTGAACTTTTAAAGTAGTTTCTGTCTTATTCTATCTTTGGTTGCTATGACAAAATGCATAAGGCTGGGTACTCTAGAGAGAAAAGAGCTTTATTTAGCTTGAAGAGGAGGTTAGAGAGCACGGCAGCAGCTTCTGCTCAGCTCAGATGAGGATTTCATGGTATCAAATTGGCAAAGGCTCAGGTGAGAATGGTAGAAATACATGGAAAATCATACAGAAGAATTCAGTGGAGAAACCAGAATGGATTCCTTATAACAAACCCATTCCCACAGGAAACCTGTCCAGTCCCACAGACTGGTGCTAATACCTTAGGAGGGCGGTACCCCCATGGCCTATTACATTCTATCAGGCCCCRTCTCTTAAAGATTCTACCACCTCAGCAACGCCACACTGGAGACCAAGCCTCCAGCACATGACCTTCTAGGAGAGAAACCATTCCCAACCTATAGCTGTCTCCATCTGAAAAGACACTATGCTAAGAGGACAGGCCACCACATACACATTCTGAAGGACACATAAACCCATGTATTCATGTRCTGTGGTCCTGAGAGCTGCCATAGTCTACAAATGAACAATTCATCGTTCATTCCTGTGATTTAATTAGAGTGCACKTTTACAAAGATTTATTAAATGTTTGCCGTGTACTGAGCCCTATGCTGTTTGCAGGGAATATTGTTATAATATTTATCTAACTGGTTTGATTACCTCTGCCCGTAAGACTCTTGGTGAATAAGCTCCATAGTTTTGCCCCTAATAATAGCAATGATCATCAATTTAGTAATTGGAAAGGATTTCAGAGGTCCCCTGATCCAACTTTTCTTTTTTTTTTAATATTTATTTTTTAGTTTTAGTTGGACACAATGCCTTTATTTCACTTATTTATTTTTATGTGGTGCTGAGGATCAAACAATCCACAATCCCAGCTCATGATCCAACTTTTCAATCCACTAAAATAAATGAGTAAATGTGATAGAGATTCTGTTCTTTAGRACTTTATGGTCTTGCAGGGGGGCATTTTTAGAGGGAATGGCATTAAATGAAATTAAAGCACCTATTTATTAGGTTATGAATAGCTCAACTATACACCTCTAAGGATGGATTTGTCTACATCCATGATGTAATCAAAGGAAAGAGTGATCATTATGGAGCTTGGAGGCAGAGTATTCAGTTGCACTGCAGATGAGCTAAGAGAGGACATTTGAGCCCACCGAGGTAGAGCACACCTTTAATCCCAGCAGCTCAGGAGGCTGAGGCAGGAGGATTGCAAGTTCAAAGCCAGCCTCAGCAATAGCAAGGCTCTAAGCAACTCAGCAAGACCCTGTCTCTAAATAAAATATAAAAAGGATCTGGGAGGTGTGGCTCAGTGGTTAAGCACACCTGTGTTCAATCCCTGGTTACCCACCCCCCCCCTCAACCGCCAGAGACAGACAGAGGACATTGGAGCTCCCTTTCACTTATGTGTTCCACACTAACCTATTATGCCTTGCGTGCTAAACACTAGGGATCAGAAGCCAGGAGAAGTACCTGTTCTCAAGTAGGTTACGGTCTCTCTCCAGGACTTGGGCATCCACTTATTTGCCAATGGATACACTCACTGAAATTCAACTTGAACCAAATTTGCAAGTTGAGGCACTGTCACAGTCTTTTCTACACGTGTGCAAAGGTGGGAAAATTTTTGAGTCACCTGCCTCACCTATTTCCAGCCATGGTCAAACAAGTTTACAGCCTTCCTTCCTTTCCTCACTCCACTTGAGTGCCGTTTTTTGTTTTTTTTTTTTTTTTGCATTTTGGGGTTTTTCTTTCATGACTTTACTTTTTAAAATGCCCCTCAAGCTGGACACAGTGGCTCATGCCCTTCAAATATAGTGTTGAAATGGCATCTAGCGTTGTGAGCGCAAGAAGGCTGTGCTGTGGCTTCCAGAGAAAGTCACAAAAGTTAGATGAGCTTCTCTCAGGCATGAGGTGTAGGGCCATTGCTTGTGAGCTCAGTGTTAATTGATAATTTGGTACATTCAGCAATAGGAGAGGAGATTTGCTGATTGGTATGTGAGTGTGCTTCAGAAAGTGCTTAAGTAACATCTACGGTGTGTGGCGAAGCTGTGGAAAAGATGGAAAAGAGACCAAACTCAGGAATTCATGAGTGACAACTGACTAAAAAGCGAATCACCAAACAAAGTCTAATGGACAGCACTGTTATGAGGCTGAAAGCCAAAGACATTTACACATTATCCAAGGTCAAGAAAACTATTAAAACCTTCTCAGTTAATGTTGTATTATAAAAAAAAATTAGATATCATTAATTTGTAAGAAATATTAACTTTCAGTATTTTCAAAGACAAACACATGTAAAATAGGTAATGTGTTGATCTGTTGATGATACTACTATGACCAGAGGTACACAGGAAYGGATCCCTATGTTTCCTTTAGGGAACACGTCACTGTCCCCTACAAGCCAGTGCTTGTGGTGACTGAAAAACATGACCACAAGGAATAACAAGACTCGCTGGGTGTAATGATGCATGCCTGTAATCTCAGCCCCTCAGGAGGCTGAAGCAGGAGGATCGCAAGTTCAGAGCCAGCCTCAGTGGCAAAGCCCCCATAGGTGYCATCCCCAGTACCACGAAACAAAACAAAAACAAAGTACCAAGACATTGTGTTATAGACCACAGGAAAGAGTGAGCAGTTCATTTTGGCATTTTGACTAGAATATAGGATATCCTAGAAAAGAAGAAGAGAGGAGAGAGAGAGAAAAACAGAGAGAGAGAGGAGTAWCACCATAAGTTAGAACCAAATCATGGAGGCTTTGAAAGCCAAAATATGAAGCCAAACAATGGGAGTACATGAGTCTGGGTTTTGTTACTATAAAGAAATTGTTTGAGGACTGGGGTTGTGGCTAGAGCATTCGCCTAGCATGTGCAAGGTCTTGGGTTCCATCCTCAACACCACATAAAAATAATTAAATAGAATAAAGGTATTGTGTCCAACTACAACTAAAAAATAAATATTAAAAAAGAGAAAGGTTTGAGCCTCCAGCCTTAACTGGATTGCTTTATAAAAGTGTAAGTGTATGACTTCATCCCAGATAAGGACACTTGATGCTCAGTTCAGAGGTCCAAAATTCCCCATTTCCTGATTGCTTTGCTGTTTATACTTGTTTTCATTTAATCCTCACCACGGGACTTAGTTTTCATCTGGTGGGGAGTTGCCCCAAGGCCCTACCTTGGTTGAACTTGTTTTAAATTTCCTGTCTTCCCTGAAAGTGGTTTCCTATCTCCCCACCCCAGCTTTACATCACCTGCCATTTTGATTAGCACAGCTTATGGAAATAACTCAGATCACCTTGAGATACCTAAGAAGATTAGAAAAGAGGGAAGAAGGAAGGGTGGGAAAGAAGCAGAGAATGTCTCCTCTCTCTTAGATCCTGGTGACTGGTTCCCTGGTGACTGCATTGTCTATCCCCAAGAACTCAATAGGGATCCACGGTCAGCCAACTTGGGGTTCCCATTTGAAGCTGCTGCCCAAAACAACTTCTCATTGATCTACTTCTGGGGATCTTGGAAAAGATGCTTTGAAGGTCTCCTCCAGGGTTGGGAGTGTAGCTCAGTGGTAAAGCTCTTGCTTAGCATACAGGAGGCCCTGAGTTCAATTCCCAGTACCATCAAAGTAAAAAAAAAAAAAAAAACCACACACACACATACAAAAACAAAGTCTCCATGCCCCCACTTGAGGACTTAGTAACCTATAGCCCAAAATAGCCTCATAATATGCAGGTCCCCTTTCCAAAATTGTTAAGAATCCCAAGGTGGTGGTAGCAAAGCAGTAAACCAAGCCCCGTCTGACTACACGGATTGCACACCATACAGTGGGTCACAGTTCTGAAATAGCCTGTCTCTCTCCATGCCCTGTGAAGGATCCCTGTCTCCTGTCTTCCCATCACTCTGCCCACAGTGGAACATTTTATGAACCACAGTTTAAGGCTTTGAAGCAGCTTCTCTTTGTATATAAAAGAATTAAGTATTATTTTTACCTTTCTTGACAGTAATAACTTTTGAGCTAATTTTTATTTTTTTGTTCTACCTCTTCAGTGACAACCCTGCTACCCAGTTTAACCTCAAAACTCACATGAATTCTCGAGACCTGAAGACAGCTATTGAGAAAATTACCCAGCGAGGAGGGCTTTCTAATGTAGGTATGTGACCCCGCTTCAGATAATTCTATCTTGTTACCATGGTTCTCTTTCTACGTGGTTGTCTTCTAACATTCTATATTGAAGGAGGAAAAAAAAAAAAAAGAATCCATCAAGAAATGACTCAATGTAACATCTGTATCTTTTCTAAAGTATTATAATGAGTTCAGGTGGCAAGACTTGTCAAAACATATGTGTCATCTAGTTCCAGCTTGCTTGGTTCCTCGGGATGCCAACATTCTTCAGGACAAGCAGGACTGCTGTTGTGACTATTTCCTGGTTGGACTCCAAGTTGCCAAGATTGAACATTAAATTCCACCACCAATTCCATCAGGAAGCAGCTCAGTGCTCCTTGGAAGTCTTGTTCCAATCAGCTACTGTTGCAGCAATGACTTTGCAAACAGAGTCTTGAACTCTGTTTCAAGATGAATCTTTTGTGATGTTTGAGCCTTTGGAGGGGGAACCAGAAGTTCAAGATCTAATCTTCATTGGAGCAGGTTCAGAAACTCCATTTTATCATTTCACCCAGAGGTGACGGGGCATTAGGAAACAACAGTTTCACATTTTCACACTAACCGTGCTCAGGCTGTCAAAGAACCCATGCCAATGTGTTATTAATGTATAAATG